AACCTGTCCCTCTCGCCAGGTGCCCATCGCGCAGGACGAGCTGGCGCTGTCACTGGGCTACGCGGCCTCTCTGGAGGCCTCGGCGCAGGACTCTGCCCGAGACAGCAGTGGCCCCTCTCCCCCGCCCTCGGACCCCCCAGCCGCCTTTCCAGGAGCCCTGGACGCCCTCTCCAGCCCCACCAGCATCCAGGAGGCCGATGAGACCACACGTTCGGACATTTCCGAGAGGCCGTCGGTAGATGATGTCGAGTCGGAAACAGGATCAACTGGTGCCCTGGAGACCCGCAGCCTCAAGGATCACAAAGGTGGGGAGAGGTCGGCAACCCCCTCCTCTGATACTCAGTGTCATGACCTGGGTCCTCCTGGAGCCTTAGGGACATGAAGGCCGAAGCCAATGGGCTGTGTCCTTCCACAGGGGCTGCCAGAGGCCCAGCCGGTCTCAGCCGAGCTACAGTAGAGAGGGAGCTGGATGCGCTGGGTCCTGTGGCATATTTACCACAAGTTTCCTTTTTCCCGTGTCTAAGTGTGTCTCTTCCTTCCCTTGTGTGTTTTTTTCTTCCTTCCCTTTCTTTTATTTTCATATATATTTTTATTGATTTCAGAGAGGAAGGAGAGAGAGATAGAAACATCAATGATGAGAGAGAATCATTGATCGGCTGCCTCCTGCACGTCCCACACTGGGGATCGAGCCCGTAACCCAGGCATGTGCCCTTGACCGGAATCAAACCCAGGACCCTTCAATCCGCAGGCTGACGCTCTATCCACTGAGCGAAACTGGCCAGGGCTCTTTCTTCCCTTTCATTATGTACTCTTTCCCCTGTGAGTATATGAATCCTACCCTGGGCCCTAACCGGTTTGGCTCAGTGTACAGAGCAGTGATGGCGAACCTTTTGAGCTCGGCGTGTCAGCATTTTGAAAAACCCTAACTTAACTCTGGTGCCGTGTCACATATAGGAATTTTTTGATATTTGCAACCATAGTAAAACAAAGACTTATATTTTTGATATTTATTTTATATATTTAAATGTCATTTAACAAAGAAAAATCAACCAGAAAAATGAGTTTGCGTGTCACCTCTGACACGCGTGTCATAGGTTCACCATCACTGGTATAGAGCGTCGGCCTGCGGACTGAAGGGTCCCAGGTTCGATTCCGGTCAAGGGCATGTACCTTGGTTGCCGGCACATACCCAGTGGGGGGTGTGCAGGAGGCAGCTGATCGATCTCTTTCATCGATGTTTCTAACTATCCCTCTCCCTTCCTCTCTGTAAAAAAATCAATAAAATATACTTAAATAAAAGAAAAGAATCCTACCCTAGGCTGACCTAGGACTGTCCCTGCGCCTTGTGGGCGGCTGGGGTACTCCTCACTTCTAAAATGAGGGCCTCCCCCAACATCTTCAGCCCTCTGTCAACGAGTCTGAGTCTGTCAACCACAACGGCACTTAACCATTAACCATTTACGGCTGAAGCCGGCATCACTTCTTGGGATAATGAGTTCCCAAACCCAAAGCCTGCCGAGTGAGCGCCCCCTCATGACCCTGGTCTGAACGGACCTCTTGGACGCACCCCTTCCTGCTCACATCCTGTAATTTGTCGATGAGCCCGTTTCAGGCGATCTTGTTCTTCCATGTCTGCCTCTGAGGACATTTCTTTTTTCTTCTTTTAAAAATATTTTTGATTTCAGGGAGGAAGGGAGAGGGAGAGATAGAGAGAGAGAAACATCAATGATGGGAGAAACATTGATCGAGCGCCTCCTGCACGCCCCGACTGGGGACTGAGCTGCAACCACCATATGTGCCCTGATGGAAATCGGAAATGGAGCCCTGACCTCCTGGTTCAGGGGTCAACACACAACCACCCAGCGACCACCGGGATGAGGACATTTCTTTAGAGACACCCTCTGTCAGCCTTGTTTTCCCACAGCGAAGAGTCGGGTGGCCAGTCTGTGGGCACAGAGCAGCAGCCCTCACTGCTCCGCGGCCAGTGCTCAGCAGGGCGCAGACTCACGCGGCCAGGACCAGGGCACGTGTCTCTACCTTCCTCCCCAGGAAGCCCGGCTCCCAGGCCCAGGGCCTGGTCTGTTCCGCGCGGCCCACCCTTCCATGCTTGGTCTTTTTTTTTTTAATATATTTTTATTGACCAGAGAGGAAGGAAGAGGGAGAGAGAGAAACATCCATGAGAAGAGAGAATCGTGGGTTGGCTGCCTCCTGCGCGCCCCGCACTGGGCTCTGGCCGGGTGGTCCTCCCTCCGCACCCGGCCGCTCAGCGCCCCCTCCCCGCTCAGCGCCCCCTCCTCCCGCTCAGCGCCCCCTCTCCCCGCTCAGCGCCCCCTCCTCCCGCTCAGCGCCCCCTCTCCCCGCTCAGCGCCCCCTCTCCCCGCTCAGCGCCCCCTCCTCCCGCTCAGCGCCCCCTCTCCCCGCTCAGTGCCCCCTCCCTCCGCTCAGCGCCCCTCCCTCCGCTCAGCGCCCTCTCCCGCTCAGCGCCCCCCTCCGCTCAGCGCCCCCTCCCTCCGCTCAGCGCCCTCTCCCCGCTCAGCGCCCCCTCCCTGCTCAGCGCCCACTCCCCCCCTCCCCCGCTCAGCGCCCACTCCCCGCTCACGCCCACTCCCCGCTCAGCGCCCTCTCCCCCCCGCTCAGCGCCCCTCTCCCCCCCCCCCCCGCCGCGCCCCGCCCGCTAGCGCCCCCTCTCCCCCGCTCAGCGCCCCCTCCTCCCGCTCAGCGCCCCCTCTCCCGCTCAGCGCCCCCCTCCTCCCGCTCAGCGCCCCCTCCTCCCGCTCAGCGCCCCCCTCCGTCAGCCCCCTCAGCGCCCCCTCCTCCCGCTCAGCGCCCCCTCCCTCTCAGCGCCCACTCCTCCCTCCCCCCGCTCACGCCCACTCCCCGCTCAGCGCCCACTCCCGCTCAGCGCCCTCCTCCCCCCGCTCAGCGCCCACTCCCCGCTCAGCGCCCACTCCCCCGCTCAGCGCCCCTCTCCCCCCCGCTCAGCGCCCCCTCCCGCCCCCCTCCCCCCCCCCCCCCCCCCCCCCCGCTCAGCGCCCCACTCCCCGCTCAGCGCCCCCTCTCCCCGCTCAGCGCCCCCTCCTCCGCTCAGCGCCCCCTCTCCCCGCTCAGCGCCCCCTCCCTCCGCTCAGCGCCCTCTCCCCGCTCAGCGCCCCCCTCCCTGCTCAGCGCCCACTCCCCCCTCCCCCCGCTCAGCGCCCACTCCCCGCTCAGCGCCCCCTCGCCCCGCTCAGCGCCCCCTCTCCCCCCCCCCCCGCTCAGCGCCCACTCCCCGCTCAGCGCCCCCTCGCCCCGCTCAGCGCCCCCTCGCCCCGCTCAGCGCCCCCTCGCCCCGCTCAGCGCCCCCTCGCCGCGCTCAGCGCCCTCTCCCTCCGCAGTGAGCTTCCTGCGCAGCGGCACGAAGCTCCTCTTCCGCCGGCGGCCCCGCCAGAGGGAAGCTGGGCTGAGCCAGTCGCACGATGACCTCTCCGACAGCATGGCCGCGCCCAGCGCCCGCAGGAAGGCCGGCAGCTTCTCCCGCCGCCTCATGAAGCGCTTCTCCTTCAAGTCCAAACCCAAGGCCGCCGGCAGCCCCAGCCCGCAGCTGTGAGGCCTCCTCGCTGAGCCGGGAGGGCGGCCGGGCACGGGCACCGGCGGGGGAGCGGGAGCCATGGGCCCTGCGAGCGGCGAGGACGCAGGGGTGCGGGGAGCAAGCGGGGGCGCTGCCTGGCACGCGTGGCCTCCCAGAGCGGTGCCCGCAGAGGGTCCCGGGTGCTCAGCTCCCCGACATCCCTCCTAATTTATTCGCTTTTCTATTTGTACGTCTGGGAGCTCCTGCTCGCGCCCAGGTGGCCTTGCCCATCTCAGGAGGCGGGCGGTCCCTGTGGGCTGGGGCTCCCTCCCTCCCAGCCCTGCGCAGCCCTCACCGTGTCCCTGAGGACATGGCAGCCCACAGGAAGCCGGGGTGGGGCAGGTCCTCCCTCCTCCGCCTCCGCTCCTGCCCCGCCCCCCCCTTTAGTACCGTTTTTTTTGTACTTGATGCCTCGCTGGGAGATCTCCTGGCGGGACCCCTCCCTGTACTGATGGCTCTAGGGGCCTCATTGAAAGACTGCCTGATGATGGACACGAGCGGAAGCAGGGGTCTTCCGCGGTGTGTTGAGAGATGATGATGGCCTTTGCTGTGAGATGATTTGGAACTTAATTTATTAAAGTCAAATTGGAATTTATAAACTGGACCATTGGTTATCCTTTGAAAGGGGAAGGGGCAGGGAGGCTGTGGGGTTGATGGGGTGGGAGGATCCCACACGGCCCAGGGAGGGGGGAGGGGACACACATATTGGGTTTTCTAAGAACTTCCTTCCTACCCAGCCAGTGTGGCTCAGTGGTTGAGCATCAACCTGTGAACCAGGAGGTCATGGTTCCAATCCCAGTCAGGACACATGCCCCGTTGCTGCTCGATCCCCAATGTGAGACATGCAGGAGGCAGCTGATCCATGATTCTCTCTCATCATTGATGTTTCTATCTCTCCTTCTAGCTTCCTCTCTGAAATCAATAAAAATACACATTTTTAAAAAGTTCCTTCCTGCAGGGAGGAAGGGACATGTAGAAAGAAGATGAAGAACAAGAGTCTTTAAAGAGTGAAGTTATAGCAAAAAAGGCAGTTTGCTAGTACAGTCTGAAAGGGTGAGGGCTACGCCCTCCATCTTGCTCCGGATCCTCCATTTTTGGGCAGCAGCCATTAGCCATGTGCTCAGCAAGGAGCTTCTTCCCGGAAGCCCAAGCCTCTGCTAGCCACATCTAGGATTTCTTTAAACTAACCAATGACAATCAAGGGAAGTGCTCGCCATAGACACAACCACATCCTGTGTAACAAGACCCTGACTTGCACCTGGCCAATCGACAGGGCCCACAGTCCTCTCTCCTCCCCTTACTCCAACCCCCCTATAAAGCCCCTCTTCCCACAGGGCTCTCTCTCTCTGCCCCCTGCTGCTGCGTTGGTGAGTGTGGTGGACGGAGAGCTCGAGCTAGCTCGAATAAAGACTCATTTTGCTTTTGCATCGGACTCGGCTGGCTCCCTGGTGGTCTTTTGGGGATCCTGAAATCTGGGCATAACAACTGGGGGCTCGTCCGGGATCCCAAGACCCTTGAGGGACCCCTGATCCAGAGAGTCTGACTGGCCGCGGTAGGTGTCTGTGTGTTGTGTATTCTGTTCTGTGTGTTATATGTTCTGTCCTATGTGAGCTCACTTCTGAAATTCTGTAGTGCCCGAAGCGGTCTAGGTGGATGCACTGCTGAAGGACCACGGGCGGGGAGAGTCGGAAGACGTTCTGCTCTTCAGGAGGGATGTGTATTCCCCCTCGAGGATCTGAGACGAGGTGGGTCCCTCCCGCCGGTTGGCATATGGCCATCGTCTAGCTTTCAGGTTTGCTTCCATGGAGTTGGAAGGCTGTACTTGTGGGCCCTTTAGTTGTCTGTTTGTGTTTTGTTTTTTTTTTTAATATATTTTATTGATTTTTTACAGAGAGGAAGGGAGAGAGATAGTTAGAAACATCAATGAAAGAGAAACATCGATCAGCTGCCTCCTGCACATCTCCTTCTGGGGATGTGCCCGCAACCCAGGTACATGCCCTTGACCGGAATCGAACCTGGGACCTTTCAGTCCGCAGGCCGACGCTCTATCCACTGAGTCAAACCAGTTTCGGCTGTTTGTGTTTTTTTATGTTTTATTCTGTGGACTTACTGTACGGACATTATGGGACAGACTCAAACTACTCCTTTAAGCATTATGGTCGATCATTCTAAAGAGGTAAAGGGAAGAGCCAGCAACCTCAGTGCGGAGGTCCGGAAAGGCTGGTGGCAGACTTTTTGTTCCAGGGAGTGGCCGACTTTTAACGTCAGGTGGCCGCCGGAGGGGACTTTCGACCTCCCCACCATCCGCCGGGTTAGGGACGTCGTCTCCCAACCCATGGAGGTACATCCTGATCAACTCTCTTACATTGTTACTTGGCAGGACCTCGTGGAAGACCCGCCATCTTGGCTTAGGCCCTTCCTACCTCCATGCCCTCCTGGGCCGAAGCCCATTCCAGCAGGGCTTATTGATCTGTTAGATTCTGTCCTTTTCACCCACCAGCCTACATGGGACGACTGCCAGATCCTGTTCACAACTGAGGAGAGGGAAAGAATCCTCAATGAGGCCTGGAAAGTGGTTCCAGGCATGGATGGGAACCCAACCACCAACCAGGCCCAGGTAGATGTCTCTTTTCCCTTAACTTGGCCTGAATGGGATTTCAACACGGCAGAAGGTAAGGAGAGGCTTCGGGTCTACCGCCAGACTCTAATGGGGGGTCTCCGCATGGCTGCTAGAAAGCCAACTAATTTGGCCAAGGTGGGGAATGTTCAGCAGGAAAGGGATGAGTCTCCAGCTGCCTTTTTAGGACGGATCATGGAGGCTTACCACACCTACACCCCCATGAGTCCAGAAGCTCCTGAAAACAAGGCAGCTGCAATCATAAGCTTTGTAAACCAATTGGCCACGGATATTAGAGTTTTGAGCTGGAATCTCTTTACAAATGTACAAAATAAAACCCCAAGACTGAATATTTCCTAAGAAAAATGGCAAAATTTTACCCAAAGGAAAAAAGATACTGGCTAGATTCTAGCAGCAGGATTGGCATTTCCATAATAAAGGACAGTTTTTAAATGCTAATGAAGGGTGTTAAAAAGTTAACTTCAAGGCCTAAAAGGAAATTCAGTAAAATTGTCTCTGTTACAAAAATTTGCTAAAAAATATGACTTAAAATAATAATTTGAATTTGAATCTTAAGAATTATTGAACTATATTAATTATAAAAATCTAAGTAGCCCCAGTAAAAGACGGCTATGCCCTTTAATTAAGGCTGGCTTCCCAAGGCAATTTCTAATGGGAGGAAGGGCTAGCCTCCCTTCCCCCAACAGAACAAGCAGGTAGGCAAAAATTTCCCGCCAGTGGCAACTTCCAAAGACAGGCTTGCTTCCCAGTTTCCCATCCTTGGGAGAAAGAATGTAAATAATTTACATTTTAATGGTTACCTGTTTCCAGTCAATGGCAGCCCAAGGCTTTGGGAGTTTGATAAATTAAATTAGATCTTCTGAAATAACAAAATGCTAAAATATTAATCTAAATTTGCCTCATGAAAATTCTAGAGGACAGAATTAAATCTGTTGGTTGATTATGTCTTGCATTTTTGAAGTTTATTCTTAAAAATGTTACTGATTGAGAAATGCTAAATATTTGACTTGCCAGCTAAAAGTTTAAGGTTCAGATTGAATTGGGAGAAATTGTGTAGTTGTGGTAGCTAAATGTGTAAAGTGTAGAAGTTTATTTTGAGAAAATAATTTTTTGTTTTCTCTAAAATAATTAGAAGTTCAAAATGTTACTCATTGGTCTGATAAAAAGAGGATTAATTTTGTGATCTCAACTGAAAATTTTAATACAAAAACCAGTTTAAATTTAATAGATATTCTTTAAGATAATTATAAAAGGTATAAACAGCTAATGGGATTTCTGTTTGTCTGCAATATAATGTTGGCCATCTATCTTTTAGGGATTTTGGTTTGCTCTTCCCTTGTTTATTGTGAGAATAAGGAAATCATCTTTTCTGTCAGAGAACAGTTTAGACAGCCACAATGTTGAGTTGCGTGACATGGCAGCCGCCATGTTGGCCGCATGGCTTGCCACGCCCCTGGGTGCCGCCATCTTGAAACAGCAAAGGCCCCTCCCTCTGACTTAGCCAATCACAAAAGGAATGTCTGCTCACTGCAGCAGGATGGGATTTCAGGGGTGGAGCTTTAAGGCGGAGTTTTACTGCAGAAATGCGGATGGGGCAGGAAGTGTGCTTGCCTCTCCCTGGTGGATTTATTTAATACTATTTTTAAGGTAATCTCTTAAATCTAGAAAACCCTGCTTTCCTTAAACTAAGGACAATTAAAGGTTATATGTTCCCTCCCTAAACAAAAGTTAAGTAGCTTATGTCAAAGTCTTTAAAAGGGACTGATAACAGTAATCCAATTTCTAAAGTGAAGTATGATAAAATTAAGTTGTCATGATATTCTTACATGCTATTATTCTACAAGTTTCATTAATATTTTTTTGATGCTTTATCCCAAACAAACTATAAATTAATTCTTTGAACGTTTGGCAGCAACCTAAGGACATGAAAGTATTTATTCCCTTCCACTGTGTGAAGGTCCCCTGGGAAGGCACTTAAGCATTCTGTATTGACCTCTCTTGACCTTTTTTTGCCAAGAGGATTCCAATTGTCTACAGCTGTTATCTGAGCTCTCCGTTCAAGCTGAGATCATGAAAAGCTGGTACCATGGATCTGTTTCTTGCCCAATGGCGTAAGCTGGGCCCTCTCTGGGGAAGAAACCTGGGTTCCCCATGATCAAGGCCAGGGCCCCGCCAGCAGGTGAGGGGATCCAAAGGCAGTTGCTGGGCATGGAGGCCAGAGGGACATAGGTTAACAAGGAGACATAATTGAACCTCACATCACCCTACTTGGCCCAGAGGATGGCTGGTATTCAATGACGGGTAAGACCCCCCCCTCAGGGAGGGGTGACCTAGGACAGGCACAGTTGGGGGGCCAGTAGGAGAGAACTTGGGGTTCAACAAAGGTGGGGCACAGATCCTCACCCCCCCAAAATTGTGCAGGGGCTTGAACACTAGCCCCTTCTGAGGAAGGTCTCCTGTTCCCATGGCTGCTTCTTGCTTCCCATGCCCAGCCCAGATCAGGAACCAAATAACAGAAAGATATTTGGTCCAGCTGAAATCAGAATCCAGATAAACGGAGGCTTGGCTAACAGACCCTATGTCTAAATCTAGCCTAACAACAGGAATGCTCAGAGCCTTCACAAGGATGTAAATTAAAATTATTGTTAGAATATTAAATTTGACAGTAAAATAGTTGTCAAGTTTTCAAATTAGTTAAATTTGGCTAACTTGAAATAGGTAATTATTCAAAAGGTATTAAGCAAAATTTTCATTTCGTGGTAAGCTGCTGGAAGACATCTTACCCAGGTATGGTTTTCCTGTTATGATAGGATCCGACAACGGACCAGCCTTTATTTCACAGGTAACACAGGTAGTAGCCAGGGCTATTGGGGCAAATTGGAAATTCTTATAGGCCCCAGAGTTCAGGGCAGGTATAAAGGATGAACAGAACTCTAAAAGAGACCCTTACCAAATTAACCATGGAAACTGGCGGGGACTGGGTGGCTCTCCTACTGTATGCCCTTTACCGGGTAAGGAACTCCACTTACACCCTGGGCTTTACTCCCTATGAAATCATGTTTGGCAGGCCACCCCCTATCATTCCTAACCCTGCCTGTGACTGTGTTTTGTTTGACTTGCTGTTTTCAATTGTTTGTTGGAATCTTCATGGAGGACATGGCCTGGTCTTTTTCTTCCTCCCTCCTCCTGATTCTGAGAGCGTCTATAGCTGGATTTCGGGTGATCTCCAGGCTTTCTGTCTGCAGGAGACCTCCCTATGCACCCGTTGTCTTTCCAGGCTGACTAGGAGTCATATTTCCCCACAGGTCGGACCCCAGCCTCCGGGATGGAGGACTCTATAGGAGCAGTCTGTAGTTTTCTTTGAAACTCCCATTGATTAAAGGGAGACAAGCAACTGGCCTGGGCTGAGACAAGGGGGGGCGGGGGTGTTAGCAGTTATGTTACCAGCTGCAGACCACTAGAAAAGCAGAGGAGGAACAAAGCTGAAGTCACAACACCGCCCAGCTCCTGAACCACCTGCTTGAGTCCATGCCACTGCGAGAGGGCAGTGACTTACGGGATTTGCTGGGGGACGCTCTGGCCGGGCCCCCGGGAGACCCTAGGTGAAGCAGCTGGCTCACAAGGGGGGCTGATGTCCCCTCTGGTGCACTCCCTTGGAGGAGGCCTGGTTGCTGCTCTGCCACAAAGGGAACTGGTGGAAAGGCAGGAGAGCGGAGCGCTGTGGCTGATGGGCAGGGTTAGCAAAGGGACACTCTCCCTGGACCTGGAAGCCATCGGGACTTTGAAGTTCTCCAAGAAGAGGAGGAGTCTGACTCAGAGACTGGCTGAAACCTTGTTGGGTTAGGAGAACCGAAGGCTGAATGTTGAGCTTGTAGACTGCAGTTTGCTGGGCAGAGATCCAAGCCCAGTTATATAGGGGTTGAGCTACCTGTGTGCAGCAAAACAACTTTCTCCCATGCCAGAATACATTTTAAGGAAATTGGACAGACTGTGTTTGTCACTAGAAAAAAGAACTGGCCACAGTGCACAGCCCTGACAGTGACCTGCAGAAAACTGTATAATAGACTCAGGTGAAGCCTGCATCTTCATGGACATGGCTCCAGAGAGATGAGGACAATTTTGCCTTATATAGAAGGGTCAGGAGTGGACTTTAGTCACCTCCCTAAGATGTTTGTATAGCCCTGCCATATCTCCTGTTTAGTAGCGGAGGATTTGGCTGCCTGAAGCGGCCATGGTGCCAATATTATATTTCACTGTATTAATATGTTGTATTAACCTTTGATTCTCTTACAGGTTTAAATGTAGCTGTAGCTGCCAGCAGTTGCTGTAGACCGGTGATGGTCTACAATCCTTGGTAGTCTTTGGGAGCAACTGGCAAGTGTCCAGTCTCCCACACTGAGGGACATTGTCATAGCTATGTATTAGCTGTCCTGGAAGGTGGTCAGTTACCATTCTTGTTGTGTTTAAGTTGTTGAAGCTGAAATGGTTTCTTTCCCTTCCACCGGACCATTTGTTATAGTTTGTCTCTGCCAGGTCGCAAGCCCAGCTCCTTCTGTGCCCAGGACAGCAGGGAGCCTGAGTTGAAGGTGACCTCTAACCAGACACACCCGCTGCAGATCACCCTCAAGCAATAGTTCTGCGTACCCAGTACAGGCCTCTAGAAGTAGAAATGCAAACTGACACATGATTGGGCCTGTAAGTCTCAAGACAGGGGGGGAATGAAAGGGCGAGGGCTACGCCCTCCATCTTGCCCCGGATCCTCCATTTTTGGGCAGCAGCCATTAGCCATGTGCTCAGCAAGGAGCTTCTTCCCGGAAGCCCAAGCCTCTGCTGGCCACACCTAGGATTTCTTTAAACTAACCAATGACAATCAAGGGAAGTGCTCGCCATAGACACAACCACATCCTGTGTAACAAGACCCCGACTTGCACCTGGCCAATCGACAGGGCCCACAGTCCTCTCTCCTCCCCTTACTCCAACCCCCCTATAAAGCCCCTCTTCCCACAGGGCTCTCTCTCTCTGCCCCCTGCTGCTGCGTTGGTGAGTGTGGTGGACGGAGAGCTCGAGCTAGCTCGAATAAAGACTCTTTTTGCTTTTGCATCGGACTCGGCTGGCTCCCTGGTGGTCTTTTGGGGATCCTGAAATCTGGGCATAACACAGGCATTTTCATTTCCCTTTTTAAAATTTTTATATTTTTATTTTTAAAAAAATTTTCTCTCTCTCTCTCTCTCTCTCTCTCTCTCTCTCTCTCTCTCTCTCTCTTTCATTTCCCTTTCTTGAACAAGCTGTTCCTTCCAGGGTATTACAGAGTGCGGAGGGTGGACTCTGGATCTAGGTTGCCTGGATCTGACTCCTGGTTCCGTTAATTGCCGTTGTGACCTTGGAAAGTTATGTAACTCAGGGTGCCTCCATTTTCTCATGTGTGAAATGGGGATGTCATAATAGCTATCATTTGGTTGTAGATGAGAAGTGATTAAAGTGCTTAGCACTCTCCTGGCATATAGTCAGTGAGCACGAAGGGTTAACTAGTGTCTCAAAAGAGATAGATTAGGAGGGGGAAGTCTTTTTAAAATTTTTCAATTACGGTTCAGATATATAGAATAGTGTTTAGACATTTATATAATTTATGAAGTGATCCCCCAAGAATTCTAGTACTCACCTGGAACTATACATCATTATTACAATACTAGAGACCCGGTGCATGAAATTCATGCACAGGTAGGGTCCCTAGGCCTGGCTGGCAATCAGGGCTGATCAAGTTCCCTGCCTCCCCATCTCCCCGCCTCCCCACTTCCTCCTTCCCTCACTCTCTCAGTGCCCTGCTGCCACTGTCGCTGGTTGCCTGCCATGTTCCATGCCGCCCCCTGATGGTCAGCATATGTCATAGTGAGGGATCGAACTCCTATTCTCCCAGTCAAACTCCTGAGGGGACACTTTGCCGATTAGCCTTTTATATATATAGGTTATTATACTAGAGGCCCGGTGCACAAAATTCATGCATGGGTGGGGTCCCTCAGTGTGGCCTGCAGAGATTGCAGAGATTGGGCCCCAGCCTTGCAGCCCCGCAGCCCTGCCTAGCACCCCTCTTGACCTGGCACCACCCGCTCACCCCACCCCTTGCGTCTCTGTCTGTGGGGTGATTGGCGCCCACTCACCTGCTCCATCATCCCGCCATGGTCCTGCTGTCATCGGGGCCCATCAGGGCCGGCAGCGCCTCCACTGTCACCCGCTGCCAGCGCTGTGTCGCCGATGCCCACCATGTTCTACACAAGTCATAGCAAGCGATTGAACTCCTGGTCAGTCGAACTCCTGGTAAATGACCACCCAAGGGGACAATTTGCCTATTAGGCTTTTATTATATAGGATTCTCTAAGCTACCCATTTGTACTTCTTAATTCCTTCACCTTTTTCATCCAGTCCTCCAAACCCCTCCCCTCTGACAACCACCAGTTTGTCTTTCTGTTTTGTTTATTTTGTTCTTGATTCCACATATAAGTGAAATAATATGGCAATTGTCTTTCTCTGTCTGGCTTATTTCACTCAGTACAATAACCTCTAGGTCAGCAGTTCTCAACCTGTGGGTTGCGACCCCTTTGGGGGTCAAATGACCCTTTCACAGGGGTCACCTAAGACCATCGGAAAACACATATATAATTACATATTGTTTTTGTGATTAATCACTATGCTTTAATTATGTTCAATTTGTAACAATGAAATTGGGGGTCACCACAACGTGAGAAACTGTATTAAAGGGTGTGGTATTAGGAAGGTTGTGAACCACTGCTCTAGGTCCATGCAAATTGTTGCAAATGGTAAGAGTTCATTCTTTTTATGGCCAAGTAACATTCCATTGTGTACCTGTACCACATCATCTTTATCCACTCATCTATTGATGGCACTTAGTTGCTTCCATATCTTGGCTATTGTAAATAATGCTGCAGTGAATACAGGGTGCATATATCTTTTTGAATTAGTGTTTTGGATTTCTTCAGATAAATACCCAGAAGTGGAATTTCTGAGTTATAAGGTAGTCCTATTTTTTTTTAATTAAATCTTTATTGTTCAGATTATTACAGTTGTTCCTCTTTTTTCCCCTCATAGCTCCCCTCCACCCGGTTCCCACCCCACCCTCTGCCCTTATCCCCGCCACCCACTGTTCTCATCCATAGGCGTACAATTTTTGTCCAGTCTCTTACCACACCCCCCACACCCTTTCCCCCCCCCCCCCGAGAATAATCAGTCCACTCCCTTTCTATGCCCCTGATTCTATTATATTCACTGGTTTATTCTGTTCATCAGATTATTTATTCACTTGATTTTTAGATTCACTTGTTGATAGATGTGTATTTGTTGTTCATAATTTGTATCTTTACCTTTTTCTTCTTCTTCCTCTTCTTAAAGGATACCTTTCAGCATTTCATATAATACTGGTTTGGTGGTGATTAACTCCTTTAGCTTTTTCTTATCTGTGAAGCTCTTTATCGGACCTTCAATTCTAAATGATAGCTTTGCTGGGTAAAGTAATCTAGGTTGTATGTTCTTAGTATTCATCACTTTGAATATTTCTTGCCACTCACTTCTGGCCTGCATAGTTTCTGTTGAGAAATCAGCTGACAGTCGTATGGGTACTCCCTTGTAGGTAACTGATTGTTTTTCTCTTGCTGCTTTTAAGATTCTCTCTTTGTCTTTTGCTCTTGGCATTTTAATTTTTTTTTTTTAAAAATATATTTTATTGATTTTTCACAGAGAGGAAGGGAGAGAGATAGAGAGAGTTAGAAACATCGATGAGAGAGAAACATCGATCAGCTGCCTCCTGCACATCCCCCACCGGGGATGTGCCCGCAACCCAGGTACATGCCCTTGACCGGAATCGAACCCGGGACCTCTCAGTCCGCAGGCTGACGCTCTATCCACTGAGCCAAACCGGTTTCGGCGGCATTTTAATTTTGATGTGTCTTGGTGTGGTCCTCTTTGGATTCCTTTTGTTTGGGGTTCTCTGCGCTTCCTGAACTTGTACGTCTATTTCTTTCACCAGGTAGGGGAATTTTTCTGTCATTATTTCTTCAAATAGGTTTTCATTATCTTGCTCTCTCTCTTCTTCTGGAACCCCCATAATTCGGATGTTGGTACGCTTGAAGTTGTCCCAGAGGCTCCTTAGACTATCTTCATATTTTTGGATTCTTTTTTCTTTTTGTTTTTCCGGTTGGGTGATTTTTGCTTCTTCATATTTCAAATCTTTGACTTGATTCTTGTGATCCTCTAGTCTGCTGTTGGAACTCTTCATAATATCCTTTATTTCAGTCAGTGTATGCTTAATTTCTAGTTGGTCCTTTTTCACAACCTCAAGGGTCTCACTAGATTTCTTGAGGGTCTCACTAAATTTATCGGCGGTTTCTAGAAAATTCTTGAAAAACCTTAAAAGTGTGGTTTTGAACTCTATATCCAGTAGTTTGTTTCCTCCATTTCTGTCATTTGTGACATGTTTCTTTGTCTACACATTTTTTATGCTTCCCTGTGTTGATACAGTGGCTTTCTGTGTTAGATGTCCTCTAGGGCCCAGTGGCTCAGCCTCCCCAATTACCTGAGGTGGACACTCTTGGTGCACCCCTTTGTGGGCTTTGTGCACAGTCTTGTTGTAGTTAAGACTTGATAGTTGTAGGTATCACTGGGAGGAATTGACCTCCAGGCCAATTGGCTGTGAGAATCAGCTGTGTCTGCAGTGGGAGAACTTCTGAGCTGGAGACACTCTTCTGGGGCAAGACTTGCTTCAGTGGGGCTTTGGTGCTCACTGAGTCTGCCCCCTGAGTGTGTCCCTTATGGATCTGAGGAGTTGTAATCTGGATGGTCCCACTCTGACCACTGGGTACACTGGCTCTTGGGTCTCTATGGAGGTGCTAATTTAGCCTCTGCCTGAGGCTACCCAACAGGAGCTATGGAGAGATTCCTCTTCTTTGTTTGGGGTTTGGAGGTGCCCAGATGAGGCCCAGCTGTGAAGCAATGCAAGCTGCTGTGGAGCCTTGGGCCTTCTTTTGGAAGTTCTAGGTCTCTCTGATTCAGCTGCAGTTAGTTAGGTAATTTTCAGGTTGTAAAGTACCAGGCCTTTCATATGCAAAAGCCTCTGTGTACAGCTTGGGTGGGGCGGGGTCTCAAGGGATCAACAGGGCAGTGCAAGCAGCTATGGCTGCTCCCCAGTCCTACCCTAAGAGGCCCCCCATCTCAGTGTCCCGGTAATCGCTGCACCTCTGAGAGAAAGCTGCCCTCGAGTTCCAACCAATGCCAGATAGGCCAGTTTCTCCTCATATGAATCTGGGCCCCCAGAGACTCACCCAGAACTGGAGTTCAGAGCAGTCGGGAGCTTGAGACTCCCTCCCAATTGAAAAAGACAACTGTGTCCTCAGCTGCCAGCGCTCTCCATGTGCGCCATGTCCTCAGCTGCCAGCCCTTTCCGAGTGCGCCCAGCTGCCAGCCCTCTCCATGTGCGCTGTGTCCTCAGTTGCCGGACCTTTCGGCGTGTGCGTCCATACCTCTGCACTTTACTTCTGCACCTCCTCTGAGTCTCAGTGTGCCTTTCTCTTTCCTTCTAGTTGTAGAATTTCCACTCAGCCAGCCTTCCTGTGGTTCTGGATGATGTCCGTGTTGTCTTTTAGTTGTATTTTTGAAGTGGTTGTGCGAGGCAGCAATTTCTGGTGTTTACGTATGCCGCCATCTTGGTTTCTCCAAGGTAGTCCTATTTTTAAAATATATATATATTTAGCACTAGGTGGTTTGACTCAGTGGATAGAGCATCAGCCTGTGAACTGAAGGTCCTGAGTTTGATTCCAGGAGCACATAGCCGGGTTTCAGGCTTGATCTCCAGTAGGGGCGTGCAGGAGGCAGCCGGTCAATGATTATCTCTCATCATTGATGTTTCTATCTCTCTCTCCCTCGCCCTTCCTGTCAGAAATCAATAAAAATTAAAAATAAATAAATAAACAATATATCTTTGTTTATTTCAGAGAGGAAGGAATAGGTAAAGAGAGATAGAAACATCAATGATAAGAGAGAATCATTGATCAATC